CTTCTGATCTCAGGACGCTCTCCTTTGCCAACTACACGAAGGAGTATGATGCACCTTGGTTGCAGGGAATCTGCCCCCGGGCCTGACGCTAATGTAAACCACTGGTTCCCCTGACAAGCTGTGGATCGAGATCGACATGGCCCTGGGGTCTACATTGTGGTTCAGAGGCTGCCGGGGTTAGGTCTTGCGAAGCTTGTGCCCCAGACAAGTCTTACGAGGCCCTTCCTTATACAAACTCCAGGCAGCTTTCAATCTGCATCCTGCCAGAAGCCGTAAGAGATTCCTCGAAACACCATTGTACAAGCCCCTATGAAACATTAAAGAGAGCCTTTGCATACGGCGCCCGTCTGGAACCTCTATATACTTGTTAGAACTTTAAGCAACCTAAACCCTAAAGCCCAAGCCCTAAACCCGCAAAAACCAAGCCCTAAACCTTAAGACCCTTTAAAAACCGAGTGCGAGCTCCGAAACCCTAAACGATCTCAGCCCTAAACCCTCCAAAGGACTCTTTACGTAAGAAGCCCAGGTCTTCACTGGTGATTTGAAGCAGCGTTTCGATGCCGAGCGACTGCGCTCAGAGGAGGACCGACATGGACCCAAGCTTATTCAAGTTATGTGTTTTATAATTTCAAGTATATAGAATATGCTGCTTGTAGAACATTAGTGGTATACTGTTTAATGGAGATCTTGCAATGGCCTATGGCTTACATGTGGCTTCTCGTGGAGGATATAAGTTGCATATGACCTGATAGGGTGTACGATTGTTACACCCTCATAAACGTTGTATTCAATGGATTGTTTAATCGTGGCTGCTGCAGTCACGTTTTTGAGCTAGAGTGCAGGGTGTAGTGCTCAGGGCTGAGGTATACAGGCTTCTGTGTCGCGAACTGGACCAGGGTTCACAAGGTCACTTCGATAGCTTACTGAGTCCGTTGTCCTTACAATTATTCGTAGATTGTGACTTTCATTGCCAAAAGATACCTAAGTAAGAAGCCTCTACTGTGCAGAATTCGGCAGTTCTTGGACGTTAAAAGTTAACGAGTCAGACTCGGTGGAGTGTATGCGTAGTAGTTTCGGATCTATGCCGCTGACCCAACAACATTCCATGTTGTGGTGACTTAGGGTTTAGCGGTTTAGCGTTGCGCTGAAAGTCAACAGCATTGACGGGACGACCACCACCATATGGAGCATCAGAACTATGATCGAAACTGAAGTTAGCAGCAATCACTGCGACTGTAATCGTAATCCCCTTGTCAGCACCATCAGCATCCTCAACTTCTGCTTATCTCCATCACGAGGTTCATCGTCACCGCCACCTTTGTCATCGTCATCACCAGCACCGGTAGCTCTACAAACAGTCTCTCCTTCAGCGTGTCAAGCTATGGAAAGCCAATGGAAAGCAGTAGCTAGCATACGAGTACAACCGGAAACAGGCTTTGCTCGCCACATTGGTAATGACCCTCATGTGCACCTGAAGCCCTGTCGCACCAGACCTCGTACTTGAAGAAGATGACACCTCAGCTGCAAGATGAGAGGTTTGGGAGATTGAGGGCTTTGGAGCTTTCTGGCTGTGGGGTGTTTCACTGGGGCTTTCGGACGTAGGGTCCGGCGCTTCTTTGCGTCCCAGAAGAAGCACCTCCCTGGGCTTCTTGCAGATGCTTTTGCTTGACTTGCCCCCTTAATCCACCAAAAAAGAGCGTGAACCTGGATTCTGTCAGCCCTTCAGTCCCGAACCTTGGGCCTAGACGCGGCTTCGAGGGGTTGCTTGATCTTGTGGAGTACCTGGCAGCAGGGACGGCCGGATGCAAAAAGGGTTTTAGGGTCCACCGAGCACCATAACTATCCAGGATGAGTTAGACTCGCAAGCCCAATCCTGGAACCACAGCCCCTCAGTTTCCACCGAAGCACCTTGCGCTGGGTGTAGGGCTCTTTGTGGTGTTGATTAGAAGTGACCGTCTCTATCCCCGACTCAATCTTGAACTCATCAATAGCACTATATCCGACACTCAGTCAGAAGCCCCCCCCCCCCCCAAAAAAAAAAAAAAAAAAAAAAAAACACAACAAATCCCGTGCATACCTCGACCCTCAAACCTGAATTCGTAAACTCGAACCTCTGCCTTGGAGCCTCTCGGCCTCAAGTAGATCTATCACTCGGGTGGTTGTCAAAATTGGGGTCCCTTTTTGGGTACCCTAAATAGTAGGTTGCCGTATTATATGAAGGGCCCAAAAAGGGACCCTAATTTTGACAATCACCCAGTAGGACCTTAATGGGTGCCCGTGAATAGTAGGATCCTGTGTATCGGGAAGCCGCGAAGCGAGACCCAACGTTTAAGAACCCCTGCAGTGCCCCAGGAAAGGCCTCGTCGGAGAGAGGGGGGACAAGACGAAGAAGTTGCTGTATCCCGGAGGCCCCAGAACCACTAAGCCCAGCCACTGAGCCTGTTGGGGCCTTCTTACTGGACCTGTTTTTTCTACCGGGCTCATAGGGTGAATACACCTAAAACCCGGAACCCTCAGATCCATCCTACAGCCCTCGGAATTCGGTGCACAGTGGGTTCAGGGTGGTTCGTCTCGTAGGTTCTGCAGGGTTGCACGTCCAGGTTTAGAGGTCAGTCAGACTCATAACATCTGCCCGGTCTCCCTAGTGTTTGCTCTGCATACTGTGAGTATACCATAGCAGGTGCAAGCATATTGTGGTGCGTTCTCAAGCGGTGTCTACAAGACCCCTCTACCGTTCCTCTGAAGTGAAAGGACATGTAAGCGGTTTACGCCCTGAATGTCAGCACGTTGTTTGGATTGTTTGGATAGGAAGAAAGAAGTGAGCCAGAAAGAACAAGGGCTTTAACTTCAAGGCCCAGGTAGCTGTATAGGCTTTCCGCAGAACCTGTCCTGCTAACCTGGTTGCTAGGTCGAACAGAGTAGTAGGGTTTGTACGGCTCTTCGGGTTGCAACCCTGACATGGCAAATCCATGCAATCACAATAGCTCCGATACACAGCTCCGGTTCATGCTTTGCCGGAATAGGCCTCCTGCGCCCCCCTTTTACTTCCCGCCCAAACCAAAACCGCCAGACCCGAAACCTGACTCTAAGCTCCAAGATGTGAAACTTCCCGTAGCAATCCTTTATCTCTAAACTGGCTTACTCTATCGGTCCTGAAACATGTCATCCTGCCGGGATTTGTGTGCCTGTGTGTGTGCGTGTGTCCACCTCTGTTCCCAAGAGTTCCTAGTAGGAAGAGGCGAGAGTAGCACTAGAGTTGCGACCGGCAGGGGGGGCAATCTGCCCAGTCAGAGCGACACATTTGGTAATATCAAGTGAGTGTGTGTGTGTGTGTGTGTGTGTGTTCGTTCGTTCGTTTCTGCAGGTAGGGAGCATTACCTCATTGATTGGCAGGGTTTAAAGATTCAGTTGTGGTTTCGGATTCCGGACTTCGGAATCTTCGGAACCATCCCCATGATGCATCCCGCCAGGAGAACTCAATCGGCGTTCCCAGTCGTCGTCTGGAAGCAGACGGTTTGGCTGACTCCCGTGCCGAGCTTCCGGCTTTCATTTCGGGCTACGGGTCTGAGGTTACTCAGCATACTCCATCGGCGAATAAAACTCTGATCTATATCATGCAGACCCCAAAATCGACCGGGAGAATCATGATGGCTGTCTTGCCCAAGGGACTCTCATTCAGGGTTGCTGTCTTGGAGCTTGGTGTACGTAATCTCTCGTTTCAGAGCGCTTAAGCCAAGCTCCTAAACCGGAGCACTTTACATATAAGGTGTCCTTCAAGGGTCCCAGAGAACCCAAGCTTCAAAACTCCAAACCCTACACTCACTGGAGCTTACTTTAGCCGGGATGATCGGCACCGCCAGGCATCCTAAAGGGACCGCCATGAAGCAGAGCAGCAGAAGTGGCAAAGGGGACTTTACAGCAACCTCTGAACTCTGCGTTTGGCGTTATGGTTTAAGATTTGAGGGAGGCCCGGGTGCGAAATTGCAGAGTGTTGCTCAGTAGTTCTGGCAGAGTCGCAAGCATGCACCACATCTCCTTGCTAGCCCCAGCTGCTCTGAGAAAATTGGCTACTTCTCAACATCCCAGAGTTTCAGAGGAGCCCGGCCTACACTGCCCTATTCCATAAATCCTGAGCCCGGCAGTGTGGCAACAATCCTGATCTTGAGAAGTGTCCAGACCGTTAAGGGCTTTCGGCCCATTCGCTCTGCGGCCAAGCCGCCTTTCGAATGACCGGTGGGCCAGAGAATTCATCACGGTTTGTAGCTTTGGGTTTGGTGGTTCGGTTCTTTGGCGTCATGTGGTTAGTCTGGTAAACAGATCCCCCCCGTGGAGAGATGGATCCGGATATTCGTGCCCTCAGAGCAGCCTTCTTGTCTAGAGCTACAACACCCTATTCTTCACCCCTTTTTTGTCAAATGTTGTTTCGAAACCAGGGCTTAGAATGCTGGAGTTTAGAAGTCTAGCATCTCTTGGCCCACATGACTTATCCTGCTGCAGAGCAGCCGGCGAAGAGGATCTTATGATAGCCGCTTGAGCGGAAGGGTCGGCGAGGCCAAAACAACTTGGGTTGATCTTTCATTGACAGCTTTCCATCAGGCACCATGGACCTGCAAGAGGGTTCGTTGGGCTTAGGGTTCAGCCATAGGGTTGATGGTTATCCAAGTAAGTTGGTTGGAAGGGCGAAGCCCTCATCTTGTAACTCTGAGTCACGAACCTCAAGTTTGCTCTTTGAACCACACATCCAAACTCTGACCAGTTTAAGGGCCCCTTCAACCCGGCACACTGTCCCGCATTTTGGGCGAAGCTCCGACTATAGCTACATCCGAACTTCGTATTTGGTAGTGGATGACAGGAACAGTTCGACGGGCGTCCCATGCTTCATTTCCTGGTTCACAACCCTGAACGTGGAAACTGTCCTAACAGTGACCCGGATTCCGGAAGTACTCCCGAAAGCACAGCGGTTGCTTTGGGGCTTGAACTTGAGACTGCACGTCATCAAGGCTCTTGCCTTCTACACAGCCAGGGGCTCAGTCTTCAAGCCGAAAGCATCTGAAGCAACGGCGTTTAGAGAGTTGAATTTGAATGTGCCTTTTTGCGTGCGGTGTGCAGGCTTTACATTTTCGGCTTCAGGGTTTGAGATGATTTCTGATGCCACACTTCTACTAGTTGATGGTGCTTGCTACTCTTTGGTTCTTCTGGGGCTCCTAGCCCTCGGTTTGCATCAACTCTTGCGTCTCAGAGGAGTGGGCGCATGAGCGACAGTCAAAAAGCAGGAAGCGAACAGGATGCCATTTTAGGGCCATCTTTGACCACGTGCCAGTGCCTTCATTGAGGAAACCATGCCCTTGTCAGGTTTTCGAGGCTACCAAATATATGGGAGTTTCCAAAAGTAGGGGACCCAAATATAGTACCCTAAATACTGGGATCCTTATTATAAGGACCCCAAAATACGGTACCCCTAATTTTCGGAAACCCCCATATGCAGGACCGATAGTAGTTCGTAGCAGAATCATGTTTGGGCCTGCGGCCTTCGGCTTGGAGTTAGGGACTGCCCAAAATAGGTTAGCACTACTTCTTGGGATGTCTATAGTAGGAAGCTGAGCCTGCTTTGTCTCCTGTCTCCAAACCCGCACGCTGAAAGCCCTAAACCCACAAGCAGACATCCGAAATTTTCCAAGGCCCAAGTCCTGTGAGTGTGTCGCCTGAGGTCGTGCCGACCATCCTCTGCCACATTCTTGGACGTCGTCCATCCGCCTTTTTTATGTCCTAAACCCTCCACCGCAGCTTCACATACAGTAAACTTTACAGATTACGATAACTTTCACGGTTTCCTGTTTGTGTTCGTTTCCCTTTGTGAGGTTTGGGGCTGCGCGAGCGGCAGCAGTTTGAACTCAAGCACCTTCTAACTCCGAAGCACAACACTCTTAGACTGGATGGCAAAACACTCTTAGACTGGATGGAAGGGGCCTGTAACGCAGACAGGCTGAACTTCCAGTCTCTTGACTCATGCTGCAGTCTTTTCGAGTTATCGGGGTCCTCCAGAGTAAGTTGCCGGAGTGGAACAAGAAACTCGAAACCTTCGCATGAAGATAGGTAATAGGGAACTACCTTTGGGGCGACAGGTGGCTACAGCCGTCGCCACATGCAAGCTCCCGCAACCCTATCTGTAAACTGCAAAACCTGTAGCCTCATCTAAACCCCGCTTGTAGCCTGTAGGCTTCAAACCCTGCTTTGTTTTCAACTCTAAACTCCTAAGTCAAACCCTGAAGCCGTAAACCTCGGCTTGCTGCAAGCCGGCTCCAATGGGCTCCAATGATAGCTGACTTTCAAGGTTTGCAATGCGGAACCATGAGGTTTCAGGTTTAGGGTATCGTTTCTGGCTTTGACCCGTATGGTTTAGTTCAGAATGAGCCTCCCTGCAAGAAAGGATACAGCACACCGATAAAGGTTTAGACCCTTAAGCCCTGCACCCTTCCTGTCCTTGCTAAGTGGGAGGCACAGAATCCTGAACCCTATGTTTTTGATGCGGGGGAAAAGGACCGACAGCAAAGCAACTTTTGAATCGCACTTTGCGAGGTCAGAGTCTCATGGCTTGGGCTGCCAAGCACGCAGAGCCTTCTACGATGGCGATGTATCCGGTGCCCTTGCCGGGTGGTGTGATCATAGAAGGGCTTAGGGCTTAGCGTTCATAGGAGTCAGGGCTCAGAAAGGGTTAGTGCTTGGGGTTTGTAGGCCGAATCCACGGCGCGGGCGGCACCTCGGTCGCTCGTTGAAGAATTGAGTTCTTACAATCTAAAGCTGTTACCCGGACATCGCACACTCTAAACCCTCAGATTAGGCAGACTAGGTCCTCGGGCTTGTATAGGCGATGGCCTTTGAGGACTCGCAGATTTGTGCTTCCCTTGCTCGGTGTCCAGTCCGTACAGTCTCACCTGCGTCTTAGCTTAGCTATTGAACGCGATGGTCAAGCAGAAAAGGATTTGAATATGGCATGGCGCAGGTATTGCAGCCTGTGGCTAGCGCGAGTCTCTCCTGGCTCCTGCGCAGCGCCCGCTGGCGAAAAGTTAGGGGGAAACGGATTGAAAAGTTCACTACCGACTGGGCATGTTGTTGCTGGTGCTCATCTTGTGATTTGTGAGCGCGAATGAAATTAGGGTTGTTTTGTCTGTTGAGGTGCATGCGTGTTTGCAAAAGAGAATGTGTTTGTACATATGCGCGCATGTACAAACGCATGGATGGCATGGCACGGCCAAGCGAAAGTTCGCGACACGCCCGCACAGCCCTTACAAGCCCCACTGTGACGAACTTCCCAAGAATCAACTACCACACCTACATGGAAAGACGAAGGAACTAGGGACATGTTCAGTGCTAAACCAAGAGTTAAAGATCCTAAAAATCTTCAAAGCCCTTATGCCCTTTACGCACGGATCCCTATGCATCCCGTTGCTGCGGCCCAGAATCTTAGGCTGCACCGCAGCTGCGAGAGGTCCTCGTGCTGCGGCCCCAAGTTTTTGAAGCTTTTGAGTGCATCGCTATTACACAGAGACCTGTCTAACTCCCAACATGATTCTGTCAGGGTTCCCCATTCTGACTATACCATAATATACCCCAAACCTTGTTCTTATTATTACACTGACCCCTGCATCAGTGTTTGTTCATATTCTACGTACGGGATGTCAGGTTTGATCAGAGAGTTGAGCTGATACGCGAGTGTGTCTTAGCGCGTAGGGTAGACACGGCAGCGCGCTTCGCACTGATATTTCGATCAGGTTCAACATCAGATGGTGATCTCACTCGTCTTCCGTATACCTCCAGCTTTTTGTTTTGTCTGATAGGGCCTCTGGCAGTTTCGATGTGTCGCTTGCAGGGCACCTGCGGCCAACACTCTTGGAGCCCTGCCCGTGGTGATCGGGCTCTACTTGGTCGGGCACTTGCTGGCTTTGTGTTCTTAGGGCTTAAAGTTTAGGGCTAAGGGCGGTTGTTTATATTTTGGCTGCTTCTTCGGGTTGCTGCTGTGGCTTCTGTTACTACCACCATCTTCTCCACCTGATTTGAATGGAAGGGGCTCAGCAAAAAGGGAGAATCAACCCCCTAACCCAGTAGTACTTGATTACATACGATACACCCATATATCATATATCTCGTTATCACTCAAAGTCATGTTATGCAGAGTCATGCCGGGTCGGTGGATCCCGAGGCCCTACAGAAACCCTAGTCCTAAGCCCAGAGCCCGCAAGCCCCAAACCCTAAACATCCCTATTCTTCTCCCTATACCTTCGAAGCCTGAAACCCTAGAACCAGCACCTACAACACCCTAAAAGTTCGATAGCGCTGCATGACACACGAACTAAGCCTCCAGGTGCTGAGGTTCACATCTGTTAGGTGTATTTGGAGCAAGGGAGGATGTTGTTGTGTAATGGTTTGTACAAACGGACGATAATGGGACATATCACTGAACATCAACACCTCAAAAGCTTGTTGCCTGCAGAGACCGATTGACCCCACCCCCCTAGTAAAGGAATGTCCTGTCAAAGTGTCATGATGGCGATGTAGGGGTTTACAAGGCTCGATAGAGGGATCGATTCCTTGGTATGATTTCAAGCGTGTTGGTGCAGCTTGCTCCGCTGGCACCAAATATGAAGCCGACATGGCACGTGCAATTGACTTTTCGGCTGCAGTCAATAGCAGGTGAAGACGCAATGCTTTGAAACACACGGATCTGCAAATGGCAGTCTTCCCCTGACCCAAAGCCCAAGAAGACGCCACTCAACCGCTTCAATCTCAAACAGTTTCGGGTTTGACAGACCACGTACGGGTTGCGACATCGCAGAGAGACCCCATGTAATGCGGCTCTAGGGGCCCTCTGAAAAGCCCGGACAGATGAGGAATATCTGAAGACTTTTGCAGCCCTAATCGACGGCTCGTAGGGCAAGGTTTAGGATTTAGGGCTGAATGCCTCGAACGGGTTTGAAGACTTCAAAACTTCGGCAATTAAGGCCAAAAAGGCCGTAGGAGCTTCTCATGCCTCCGCCCGGTGCACGTCGACTGTCGCTGGTGGAGCCATGGTGTTTTGGCAAGACTTGGGGGTGCGGGGGCTTTCGATGTAGGATTAACATTGTCGTGTTGGGGTTTAACGGTTTAACGTTTAGGGTAGTGTAGTCAGAGGCCATGCAAAGGCTCGTTGGTCAGCATCTGGTATTGTCCTGCACAAAACATATCCTAAATGCCATAAAATCAACCTGAAACGAGCAAACTGTCACTGCCAACATCATCTTTGGCTGGCAGGGACTCTACATTCCATACTCTATACCCTCAACCCGATGATGTTCAGGGGTTTGGGGTGTAGGGTTCAGGGTTAGGAGAGAGCTTCGAATCTGGGTTATCGTTGAGCAGCACTCCCCAAATCATGTTCGGGCTCCTGTAATCCTTACAAGGCCGCGAACAACTTGAGACCATGAAACAACATCCGCCATGCCAGCATGATGTGGAGACTACTTTGGGGTTTGGGGTTTCCTTTTCTAGCTAGCCCCAAGTGACATCCCTGGCCCTCTAGACCCGATCAAGGGAATCCAAAATCCTGGTTTTATGTTACAGGTTGAAACAAAGGCGTTTAGGGCTCAGGGTTAGTTGGACTTGAACCTTTTAAAATGCAGGGCTTTGGGTTCTCCTCCTCCTCGACCGTATACCCAGGAGCGGCAACAACTGCCACCAGACAAACCAGCAGAATCGGCCTCCGCCAACTCCTTGGTCAGGAGCGCGGTTGGTGTCCTCGAGTTGTTTGGTTTTTGTTGTTTCCGTTTGTTTGTGAATACAAAAGTCCGGCGTTTTGTGGTTTTACGCCATTTAGGGATTTGGGGTTTTGTGCCTTGCAGGTTTTGGAGGTGTCGGTGCTTTCAGGAAGCCTGTTTTGAGGGTCCTGTAAGGCCTTGTAGGCGCACTGTAGGATTCGGGTATAGGGGTTCATGGATTAAGTCTGCAAAAAGCTGATTCGTAGAGCTGGGTTTAAACAGGCGGAGCGTGAGCCTTTGTAACATGATCTGTTCTTCAGGTCTATCATGAAACTTCGTACGCCGCGAATCCCCGTACATCCTTCAACCGCAGGTATTGGTCTCCTTTCAATACAGGACCCAAGCGAAAGCTTGAAGCCTTGTCCCGGCAGCAGGAGATGCCACTGAGTTCTTCAAAGACTACCGGAACCTGCTTCTGAGCTGCGGTAATATGCGCTAGGGTCTATGTTACCCTGAGGGTTCATGTTCCCAGACAGTATGTATTTACTTAGGCCTGAAAAGGGGTCCCTATGTTAGAGCCCGCAGCCCCATATCCCAGATTTCTAAAATTCAAAACTTATAAATTTACAGGACTAGATCCCTGGCCTGCGAGGTTTCGCGGGTAATGTGGAACCCTGATTAATCAAGCTCGCCAAAATGTCTTAGGGTTTACTTATGATGTCTTGAAGGTTAGATCGTTGAGAGCCTATGGCAGTGATGTCGGGCGAGAATCTACCCTGACGACAGTTGATAGCCATGTGCTGCTGAGGCATGACATCAACCGCGGCTTGGCTGCAGTAGCCTTTTTGCACGTCATGTTGCTGCATGCAATCTCCAAAGCCCTTGAAACCTGCACACAACACCTGAGAACCAGCAAGGGGCTTAGGGCTTTTGTTCTCAGACCGCGTTGCTCCGTTACTTGTCGTGAAGCTTTTCGAATTTCCACAATCATGTTTGAACGTACAACCACACGGAATGTCGGTTTGTGGTTGGCTGGCTGCGCATTCCTCAAAACCCAATCCGAAAGCAAAGCATTAAGTTCAAATGCCATAGAACCCTGAAGCCCCAACAATGCGACCCTTCAATGTTTCTCAATATAAGGTTTGCAGACACTTCAATGAAGATAGCCATACTTCTCGTTACAACAGCAAAGATAGAACTAGTAAGCATAGTGATCATAACAGCATCAATATCACAACAAGTGTCGGTAGTGATTACTGTATGATCAGAAATTTAAGTGTGATTGAACACTATGATTTCTGCACAACGCCAAAGCCTAAAGTAGGAACCTTTGGAGTTTGTGGGTTTCCAGGCTTCATGGCGAAGTTGGCGCAGGAGAATCCCCGCTTCGTGGTGTTCCTTGGCACATCTGGGAGTTTCCGAAATTAGGGGTACCTTAAGGTTCCTTTAAAGGGTTACTACAAGGGTACTATGAGCGCTCCTTCAAAGGGATCCATAAGGGTTTGGAGTTTCCGAAATTAGGGATACCTTTGGGGTCCTTATAATAAGGAGGGTGCTATATTAGGGTGCTAAGTCCCCGAAGCGGAAAGGTAAGGGCGTTACGAACTAGAACAGGCTACCGTAGGGTTTCGGGGTATGTGACACTGTAAGCATGTTGAAGCCTACGAACAGATACTATTAGTCCTTGAAGGGGTGCCTACAACCACCGTCAACTGCGATATAGTTCTTATTTATGGCTGAGGGTACAGGGTTTATAGGGTTGGTTGGCATTAAGAGCCCAGCTGCAAACGGGTTTATAGGGTGTAGGATTTTGAGGTTCAGGTCGGGGTTGGGGCTGTGTTGGGGGTTCCCTTTCTCTTGTGAAACTACAGTGCCACCTTAACCAGGTCGCCCGATTCAGATCTCAGCCGTTAGGGATGTGAAGCCCAAACTCTGCCGAAGCCTGAAGACTGCAAGGAGGCGATTTGAGAACGAACCTTAAATCCCTAAACCAAAAAGCAGACCCCTGGCTGTCTGTCCTTTAGTCACTATTCCGTGCCGTAGATGGCCCAAACCCGAAACCCTTATGAGCCCTATCAATCCTAAACACTGAACCCCTTCATTCCTGAACATCCTTGTAGGACCCTTATTACCATCCCCGGAACAGTTATTACCAGCCCCTGAACAGTTTGATGTAGTAGGACCTACCAGTTGATGTAGGATCTTCCGAACCCCGTCTCCTTCATGCACAACCATCACCTCGAAGCTCTGCAATCAGGCTCCGAGAGATCGGGCGCTCTTGGGAGGGAAGACCTCTTCAGGCGCTTCGTCCTTCCGCAGATTCTGCGACTACTCGTAGATATCTGAACGTGCATGTGCATTTTTACCGTATGGCTATCTACAGCGCATGGCTATATAAATATAACAAAACTATATGTACATATATATATATATATATATATATGTGTGTGTGTGTGTATGTGTATCGTACACGTGCTTGGTCTATGGGTGTGCATAAATGCGTGTTTTGGGGGTTTGTAGGTGCACATGTATGTAGAAGCGCATATCTATACGTATGTGTGCGTGCATGTATGTATCTATGTAGATATACATATAAGCCGCTATGTCGGTGTGTATATATATATATAGATATTCTACCAGGAGTTGCTCTTGGCTTGTACCCCAAAGCCCCCCACCCTCCAAGACACAACTTAACTCCTGAGGTTTCAATCCCTTCTATGTCCAGCAAACTAAAACCCCTTCAATCCCAGGGCCAGACCCCCCTGACTCAGAAATTCCTCTGGCTCAGTAGCGGGAGCTGAGATCCCAAACCACTGTCTGGCTCAGGTGCTTGAGATCACCGACCACCACTCTGGGAATGTCGCTGCAGCCGGGCCGGAAGTAAGCTTACCCCCCAATAAGTGTACGGGCCTGAGTAAGTGAAAAAAGGAGCATGGTATACAATATACCGTATACCCTTATGGTCCCTGTGTAATATCACTATTGCAGTATGCCCCCGAGCTCTATTCCCCGAAACCTCGAACACGCTTCAGGACAAGCCGTGCATCTTCCTGGAGGGCGGCATCCACGCACGACGCTTGGATTTAGGGTATTTCCTGAATTTGAGACGTTTACGAGTGGGACGTTGTTCCATGTAATTAGCCCTAACCATGGTGATGTTGATTATTGCTGTTGCTGTTGCAGCTGCTCGCGAT